CCTCCATGGAAAAAAATTTTTTTTTTTTTAAAGAAGTCTCTTCTGCTCACCAAGCCTGCATTTATTTAATCAGAAATACAGCAATAACAGTAAAATTCATTCTAATATGCTGATTTGCTGCTCAAGAAAAAAACATTTATTATTATTATTATGTTAAGAAACTTGAAAAAATGTACTCAACTGTGTTCAACATTGATGATAATCAGAAATGTTTCACGAGCAGCAAATCAGCATATTATTATGATTTCTGAAGATCATGTGACACTGAAGACTGCAGTAATGATGCTGAAAATACAGCTGCGCATCACAGAAATACATTACAGTTTAACAGATATTCAGATAGAAAACAGCTGATTTACATTAGAATAATATTTCAGAATTTTACTGTTATTGCTGTATTTCTGATCAAATAAATGCAGGCTTGGTGAGCAGAAGAGACTTCTTTAAGAAACATTAAAAATCTTACTGTTCAAAAATTCTACACTATAACCAATTTTATATTGTCCAGCCAATGTTATTTCCAACTGTATATGTATTATATCAGACTAATAAGATGATCGGATCCTCAGAAACACATGCAGCTGAACTGAAACCGAAAGTAACGTTACCGTGCGATTATTCCGTCTCTAATAAAACTGAAGAAGACTTTCTGTGAAAAGTTACTGACTGACTCCGTTCATCACATTATTAATAAGTTAAATATGACGATGATTTCACCTCTTCTCCTCTATTTCGCGGCGGATCTGCTCATCTTCCTCGTTTTCATTCGTCATATCATCATACTCATCCTCTTCAACAGCTCTCGAGTACACCGATAAAACTTCACCGAAAAATGTGGCCATATTAGACGCTTTATGAGATTAAATCACTCGATACAACTCTAGCTGCTGCGTAACGATAGCGCGACACACACCGGAAGTACTGCAGCTTTACGACGGAAGACTTTTATTTTGTTTAGTCACATTGTGCTATTCCAACAAATAGCCGTGTAAAAAAGAAAGAAATAATTATTTTGAGTAAAATTTGTGTTGAATCACAATTCGAAAAAAAACGTAATAATCAGTGTTGGTGAGTAACTAGTTACATGTAACGGAATTACGTAATTTAATGACAAAATAAATGTAACTGTAATCAGTTACAGTTACTGAGGGGAAAAAAATGTGTAATTAAATTACAGTTACTTATGAAAATGTTACATGGAATATTTTCACACACACCCACATACATATTTAATTGATTTTTTTTTTTTCTTCATAAATTGCATTGACTGCTCTAAAATATGAGACACCAATGTTTCAGGAGTTTAGGACACATGCTTATTCAATAACTGTTTTATTTCCTATTTGGGTTTATGTGTATGCTTTATTGTTTAAAACAAACTTTTTTCTTCCAAACCA